AATAATAAATTTTATAAGAAAATTGAAATCAACCTCAATTAATTTTAAATTTATTCTTTTATTTATTTTAAAATTTTAAAATTAATAATGGTAAAAATAAAATATCTTTGCATAAATTTATATTTTAGTTATATATTTGTGGATACAGAATGGATATTCCGTGCGAACATATGTACTAATACAGTACACGCATATAATACTGATATTAAACTACTGATTTAAATATTGAATAATAACTGAAATAAGTTTACTATTAAATTAAATATTTTTTAAAAAATAATTCTAAAATAATGATATATATATATATATATATATATATATATATATATATATATATATATATATATATATATATATATATATATATATATATATATATATATATATATATATATATATAAAAGAATAATTATACCGTTGATTCAAATATTGTTATATCCGAAATAAATTATAAAAATTGATTTATTATCTCTTTTAAAAATAACAAATTATTTTTGTTATGCAATCTTTATTTTATCTATTTCATTTTTATTATATATTTGAAACAAATGCGCGTAATACACCAATATCCGTACAGACGCACGAGTAACTATACTAAAATTCGTGCGAACACATGAGTTATTATATTTTTTTGTACAATTAAATAAAATAAAAGTAAGAATAATGTATTAATCCAAACACAAGAAAAATGTGTATTTTTATTATTCATGTATCTATTTTTTTGAAACTATTTTTAATTTAAGATAGATATTTTTTTAAGATAATATATGAAAAATATTGATGTAAAATAATTTGAATTTTATTTTAAAAATATGTCTTTCTTTTAAAAATAACATACTAATTTGTTAAAACAATTTTATTTTATTTAAATTTTAAAAACAAAAGCGTGCGTACTAGACCAGTACTCGTGCAAACGCACGAGTAACACACCAGTACAGTGTGAACGCACGGATAATTATACTAAATTATTGTTCCAATATTTCTATGTCATGAAGTTATTGATAAAATTATTGAATTTTAACGGAAACATGAAGTTACTAATTAAAATAATGAATATTAATGGGAACATGAAATTATTGATCAAATTATTGAATATTAACCGGAATATGAAGTTACTAATCAAAATATTGAATATTAACAGAAATATTAAATTACTGATCAAAATATTGAGTATTAACGAGAACATGAAGTTACTGATCAAAATATTGAGTATTATTGGGAACATGAAGTTATTGATCTAAATATTTAATAATAACATAGACATGAAATTACTGATCAAAATACTGAATAATAACGACAACATGAAGTTATTGATCAAAATATTGAATAATAAAAAAAGATAAATTTACTAATTAAAATATGACTCAATAGTCGATTCGCCTTCTACCATATATATTCTCCTTGTAAAAAAAATAGATTCTCCCTACCTTTTATAGATTCTCTTATTTTAGTCTCTTATGATACTCGATCATCAAAAAATTTGATGTGGTATGGATTATGTGTTTTTTTTTTCTTTTTTTATATTTTTTAAATGTCATGTGGATTATCTATTTCTATTTCAATTTATTTTTAAAAAATTCAAAATGTCTTCATCATCTTCATCTTCCCTCTTCTTTATCTTCTTCTTTGCCCTTTCCCTTTTTCATTTCTACTCAAGATCATAAAATATTCCATGAGTGAATGAGCTTGAGGCTTATGCTTTCTACCCCAAATCAGATCAATCTTAGCCAGCACCCCAATTCCATAGAGAAAGTATCCTAAATGATAATGATGGTCGTTATAAATTCGGAATTCAAAATCAACATTTATAGAACAAGTTTTCATCTTCCCTTATCAACAATTAAATCATACTTTCTCTCTCTCGAAACACAAAAAAGCAAAGAAAATAAAGCAGATTCCCGATGAAACTCGCAGCGGTTGACAATGGTTCAACGCCGGCGCCAACTCAAATCAACAAAATCTCAACCTCGACCCCCCTTGTTTTTTTTCATAGAGCATGAATCTGGCCTCAGATTTTCCTAACCCCTACTCAAACAATCAGATCAGAGCATTCCTAACTCAAACCCTAAGTCAACAAACTCATTCGTAAACTCATAATTAAGGCATAAAGATGATGCAACAAAGCAAGACAAGCATGAGTAAGAAAACGATCATCCCACTATTTTGCATACTACGATTGTAATACTGTGACAGAACCGACTGTTTATACTGGTTTTGCGTTTGTGTTTGCAAATGTTGCGGTAAGCAAGAGTCGCCACCGAATTTTCTTTTATCCAACAAAGGAAAGGGTGAAAAGAACAGAAAAAGACCTTTCGAGATTATTTCTGAGTAAGGGGGGTAGATTATGGAAAGGGAATGTGTTAGAACCCTTTCCATCCATAGTTTTCTACGGGCTCTTAGATGCTTAGCTCATTTTGAAATACTTTGTGCTTTGTGTGTTTTTGAAAAGTATTTTTGAAATTTCAATAGTAAGGTAGTTTGTTTTATGATAACTCTTGTATCAGTCCTCAAGAGTGTTGATAAAGCATTTGAAAATGTTTTGTGTAAGTGTAAAAATTTGTTCTTTTGAGCAAGCGTCTTGGAACTATCTACTTTTACTCGAAAGGGTCGTTCTTTTCCTCTTTTCCTTTAGACAATGCTATCCTACTATTAGTGAGTAGGTAACCCTAGTCGTTGGATGTTTGAGGGACATTCGAAGGGACGTTGATAGTCACAAAGGCAACTGGACAAAAAATCTTAGTAACTACCTTAAGATTTTAAGATCATTTTTACCGAGGCAACGTCGAGAGGATCATCGAGGGACTTGTGATCTTTTAAACCGGAGGGTAGCCACTAAAATCTCTCACGTTTCGAGAGTTGTGACTCTTTTCTGAAGGCAACCAAAGTGGGAATACCCTAGAGGTGCGCATGTGCGAGTGTGTTGTGTTCAGTTATTTTTGTCTTTGCATTTAGGTTCGCTAGCGTTTTATTTTATTCTTGCCATACAATCCTATTAGCATACATCTAAACAGTTAATATATGTGCAGGAAATATAAAGTGCAAAAATTAAATCCTACGCTATTACACGGCTTCGGGGAGGGGAAATATTTACATGTCTAAAACTTAAGGGGGAAAATAAAGAAAGCAGAGAAGTAAAGAGTTCTAATTAATTATATTACATCCCAGTAGGCAGTTACAAAAAATATGAAAATAAAAATGCGAAAGGTAAAAACGCGCGTAAATTGAAATCACGTCTAATCCTAAACTCATTCTAAGTTAAAAAGAGAACTCTTTTTGTTGTTTTTTGTTTATTAAACTAAATTAAGTCTAATTATTAGATTAAAATAAAACTAAAAAAAAATTATTAACTAGAAAAATTAATTCTAATACAACCTAATATTTTTGGTATTTTGTTTGAGAAATAGAACTAAAATTGATTAGAATGTTAAGTCTATTGATTTTAAATTCCACAAAATATTAAAGTAATTAGTTAATTTATTTATAAAATTAGCTTAATTAATAAAATATTAACCTAATGTTTTTTATGATTTTATTTATTTTATACTAATTAAAAAAATTAAGAAAAGTAATAAAAAGATAAAACAAAAAGAAAAAATAAATAGGCCTGAGTAGTAAAAACAAAAACGGGGGGGTGAAAAAAACGCTAGGCTCAAGTTGTTGAAGCTCGGGTTTCCCGTGAATCCGGTGAGGAATGCCTTGGAGAGTGGATGGTGGTCTGCACGTTTGTGTACATTGGATCTGGATCAGCTGTGATCTGATGGCTTAGAATGATGGTTCATGATGCACGCGTGGGGACAAGCCAGCACTGGATCTGCAAACAATATGTTAGAAAAATGAAAATGCATGTCCTGGGACTCGAACCCAGGTCCTCTCTCCAATGCACGCATTCCTTTACCATCTGAGCTAGCTGTTTAATCATTATTATATCAAAACAAAAACAAAATAAACGGAAATAGCGTTGAATCCTAGTCAGCCAAAATAAACGGAAATGCATAAAATTCAAATGGGCCAATGATAACGCGCGATATTGCCACGCCTGCTCCCAAACGGAGTCAACCGGTCAAAGACACCGAAGCAGAGCTCCGATCGTCTTCTCTGGCCATGTCCATCACCAAACATGCATTTCCAGCCTGCCATTTTTACCCTTATGAAGAAAATGCAACATGCCATTTTTTTACACTTAGAGTTTTTCCAGCCTGCATGACAAGTAACAAAAACAAAGCTCAACTCATCTCGACTTATTTCCAGTTCTAATCGTGATAAATCATTACAAGTCAATATATACACACATGCATGCATGCAAACACGTACGTATGTATGGATTAAAAACAAACCTTGATTCTAAATCAGGACTTGAGAACATCGGTGCATTCGAGACGGGTTTCATAGAAAGAACCAGATTGAAACAAAAAGCTAAATAAAGAACACTACATTAATACATTGCTACAATTATTTTAGATACACACCAAACCACGGATGATTTTTCCAGCATCATTTTTAGTTCCTGTTTTCCACCATACTCTTTTCCTTTACCATAATCATCTATGGATGAATTGTTATTATCAGCTGGTGGTTTATCTTGATTGGAAGTACGAGATAAAAGTATCTGATACAACATAAATGACCCATTAACATAACCTTGATTCTCAATCTAAAATTTGAATAGAAAGTGACATGTTAAGAAAATTGAAGCAAACCCAATTAAAATGAAAGAGGGACTTTTATAATCAGATTGCGGGTAAAATGTGAAGTGAACCTGACGAGGCAACATTGAAAAGTGATGAGAGAGTGGTCATGGTACTTTGTAAACAAACAATTGACAGTGATTTTGGTGATATACACTGATTAGTTAGTCTTCATAATAAACTATTACAATGACATACTTTTAGTCACAAACACACAACAAAGATTGCAGGCTCACCTAAACTCAATAATCATAGGTGTAATTCAAATATGTTATGATATATACTTCTGCATCTTTCTGAAGCCAATAACATTCATCAAATCCAAAGATCTAAACCGTAACCACAATTATGCACCTGTAATCGATGTTCGAACACAAATTCATTTGATATTCGACACAACTCAAGCGATTTGAAACAACAACAACGTGCAACATATCGAACACACCTATAGCAGAACAACAAACAACTTCCATCAGCTCGTAACAACAAATAACTTCCCCCTCTCGAATCCTTTAGAGAAGTGTGAACATTCACGAAAGCTAAAACCGAAAAATAAGTAGCATAAAACAGAGATGGAGTATGGACATCCATGAAGAACCTACATGGAAATACGTACGCAAACAACCTGCATTAATTCATCATTACCACGGGGATTGCAGAAGCGACTTCCAAATGCCAAATTGAATATGAAAACATTATAACAATAGCTCATAATCATTAGCTCCTTCCTCCCTTACGCACCTAAACCACTAAGGGCATGTTTGGATGGATTTATTTTAAAATATATATTACCATAAATTTTGTGAAATCCCTGGCCTTAGCCTTCTATTGTTGGCATAATATCTTCAAAGGGACTAACAGTTCCTCCTCATTTTAAACAAAATAGCCATCTTTTGTGCAAGATAATTGCTATGAAGTCAAGGTTAACATTTTAAAATAAATAGATTGCAGATGGAAATTCAATTTTTTCATTTTCTTCTGTTGAAATTAGTATTTACATATTACTACAATAAAGTATTCTTACTTAAAATACTTACTTGATGTTTTGATGCCTTCAAATTCTTCATTAGCTTAGTAACTTCAACTTGTTTCATCAATGTATCATGTAGCACCTGCATCAAATAAAATTATCAATAGTTAAACGTCATGTCATAAAAAAAGTAAGGTTAGATGAGTGAAGAAAGTTTAGAGATGTAATTGAAACATCATGTCAGCAAAACAATCAATGCAGAGAAAGATCTCATACGTAACAGACACCCAAGTCAGATTCTTTGTATTGAAATCGAAACACATCTAAAATCAAAAATCGCAACTTTTCGTAGAACCTATCAATCTCACTTTCACCGATTCCATTTGAGCCACTTTCAACAATTTCACATCACCGACGCTAACACAGACCATTTTCGTCCTCTCCGATAGAGGCTTTAAATTAATGGAAGAAAGAAAAAAAAGAAGAGAATGAAATTGACGAAAGCTCTACCTTGTATTCCTTCACCCAAACTGCAAGGTGATCTGGTTCCATCCACCTTCAAACATCTTTTGAAACTATCGAATACATTAATGGAGGGCGGAATAGTTACAGATGGAATATGGAATACAAAGTTTGTGGGAATCGTAATTTTGTTACTGCTTGTTATAACCGTGCACATTAAATGAAAGGAACATGAAAGGTTTGGAAGAGTGATTTGGAAAAATAATTGAAGATTCAATTTTGTAAGTGGCATGATTTTGTGGAAATTGGAAGTAGACCAAGAATTTTAGGAAAACATAGGAAGGATTTCGGCAAACAAATACACTCAGTTGTGAGGTAGCCACGTGGCAGCATATTAGAAATCCATGTTTAAATTTTCTTATATGATAGACTAGTGGGATACTCGTGCCTTAGTACAAGTACATTTATGGTACGCGCATTTGTTCCTAAAATATAAATAAATAATAATTTTTTAAAAAAAGATAATAAATTGATACCTATAATTCTTCTAATATATAAAATATTTGAATGAATAATATATATATATATATATTTTATGTAAATATTATTTTCGTTTTGGAATTGTTCGTAAAAAATATTTAAACCAATAGTAAAGTTGTTCTATTAATATTCAATATTTTTATCAGTAATTTCATGTTCCCGTTAATATTCAATAATTTGATCAGTAACTTCATGTTCCCGTTAACGTTCAATATTTTGATCTGTAACTTAATATTTTCGTTAATATTTAATATTTTGACCAGTAACTTCATGTTTTCGTTAATATTCAATATTTTGATCAGTAACTTCATGTTCTCGTTAATATTCGTTGTTTTGATCAGTAACTTCATGTTTCGGTTAATATTCAATGTTTTTATCAGTAACTTTATGGTCCCATTAATATTCAATATTTTGATCAACAACTTCGTGTTCCCGTTAATATTCAATATTTTGATCAGTAAGTTCATGTTCTCATTAATATTAAATATTTTGATCAGTAACTTTACATTGCTGTTAATATTCAATATTTTTATCAGTAACTTCATATTCCCGTTAATTTTCAATATTTTGATCAGTAACTTCATGTTTCCGTTAATATTAATATTTTGATCAGTAACTTAATATTTTTGTTAATATTCAATATTTTAATCAGTAACTTCATGTTCCCGTTAATATTCAATATTTTGATCAGTAACTTCATGTTCCTGTTAATATTTAATATTTTGATCAATAAATTCATGTTCCCGGTAAAATTTAATATTTTGATCCGTAAATTTATGTTCCCGTTAAAATTAAATTATTGAAATGATATTTGAATCTCTATGTTTAAAAAAACATATTTGTTATTCTCAAATATAGTTTGTTGACAATCGATAACCGATAGTATTAATATAATTAAACAATCATAAATTTTAAAAAAGATATATTTAAGTTTGGACAACCGATAATCGATAATCAGTAACCATCTTATATGTTTAAGTTTGGACTAACATCCAACTCACTAAATATATAGAGGTCTTTGGCCCTCTTAAGTCGTTATATAACAATTTATTGACAACTCTCCTAAGTGACACCTGTTCTCATAGGAAGGTTGTAAGGCCTTCAAACTTTAGAGTATTTGATATAAAAGTAAAAAGATATATCTATTAAATTTAAGATATATACATTTCTAACTTAAATATTTGTTTTGTGATAACCAATAAAGAAAAAGTCCTTATCCGGATCATTATACATGAAGTAAACAAAACTTTATATTTGTATGAATAAATTTATTTATACTTACTTATTAAGTGTGAGCACAAGATACTAGGACACGAAACAATACGAACCTTCCGAAAACGATAATGTCAAAAATATAGAACATTGTTATTCTTATGATAGTGTTTGAAATTTATTTATCCATATGTTATTATTAGAAGAATTAAAAATATCTTAATCAAAATATTCATTGAAGCAAAGAAAGAAACATTTAAAAAAAAAAAACACTTGTTATGCTCGCAGTTGTTGTCTTAGTGAGACCTGACATGCTATTTTCATGTGATGTCTACTGGGAGATTTAGTTGAAAGTGGGAGTGTGTATGTGGGTTAGCCTCATAATCCATCTCATTTGACTCTCTCTATTTTAGGCATATATCTTAGAGCTCACCATGGTGAGAGTTTTGGAACATAGTTTGTCCTATTTATAATACAATGTTACAATGTTCAAAGAGATGTTAAATGATGCATTACTTAATATGTACATTTTAAAATATTGATAATTATGTTTTAATATAACATTTTAAAATATTGTTAAAAACAATAGAAAATTATATTCTTTTTGCATGATCCTGTTCAAAATGTCATTGTAAAATTTTGTAATGTGACATAGTTTATAAATGAAACTTTGTTTATATATGATATCTTTTGATTGTTGTCTTACCAACATTGATTACTCAAACATTTTTTTTATCTTGATCTGTAGGTGCAAACCGGAATTATATAATGTAGTTATGTGATATTACTCTTTGTAGTTGTCACAATTAAGAAAAAAAACTTAAAATTATAATCCCTCTATTAGGAACTGTTTTGAGTTTTAACTTAGTTCAGTGTTAGCGAACTTAGATTCTCATAACAAGGCGTTTAAGTTAGCGCCCAAGGTTCAACGAATGAATGAAGCTATGATATGTTAGTCAGTCTTTTTTCCATCAGCTGGCTGGTGCTTTAGCTTTCTCTAGCAGGCTTTCGTCATCCATCATTGTCTGGGCCGTCGTTGTAAACACGCTTCTCGGACAGAGGGACCGGAAAGACTTCTCAACACCCCTCTTCCTGAGACCGTAGCTTCGTGATTAGGAAGCTGATTTGTAAAAATCTCCACGCCCTTTATTTCAGATAAACCAATCAGTAGTAACTCCATATTTCAAGGAAGATATTTCATACGACTTAAAACTGTTTTTACTGAAATCTTGAATTTTTTCTTTGCAGCCTTGCATGTTTTATGCCAATTATATTCAAGTATTCATTGATATCTTGCAATGAAGGGAGAAGGAAATGAGTGTTTCCTACAATAGTATAGTCCCAGAAACTTGAGTTATATGATAATTGCTTGAACTCCAGCCTATTGTACTTGAATATAAAGAGCTTTCAGCAAGAGAAAAAATCAGGACATCGAAACTCCGACGAAGCTAAGCTCCTAAGCTACTCCGAACCACAGAGCACCATGCCTTTCCCTGACGCATCACTGACGATAGACTGAACCACCACACTCAGAATCTGCTGTAAATAAGCTCGCTGATGCAGAAACACTGTGAAATCGATGATGCAGATCAATCCTACATAATAAGCAGCAGTAATGGATCAAACGGGATTATCAGCGATAAAGGCTTTCAGATATTTCCGTTTTCCATCTATCCCCATTTTCAAGCAGCTTCTCTTTTGTCATATAGAAGCTCCTTTAACTGTTAAAACACATAATCAGTAATAAACAACTAAACGAAAAAATTACTTAAAATCAACAGCCAAAAAAAGAGATAAACAATTTTGGTAAGCACTAAAGATACTCATATAGTTCAATATAAAGGAACATATAAGGAGCCTTGTGAGTCTCAATAGAAAATTCAAAGTTTGTTCCTTCAGATTATTATATATTATGCGTAAACAAATTAACATTGGTATGGAATAGATATTGCACATGAATACTAAATTAGCCAAATATAAAGATCATGTTACTTATCTTTGAGGTTCATGCGAAATTGATACGCAGTTCACAATATAAATTCAAATATGATCTTCCAAACACCACCCAACTAAACTACTTCGATTTTATTTTATTCAGTCTTGTCTAGCTAGTAAACTATACTACAAAATAGTGAACAAAATTGAGAATATTTTTATCATTCAAAACAACATATCCTTCTTCATACATCGTTTTAAATTTGAAAGATTTTTCTAACCTGAAATAATTCTAAAGCAGCATTAACATTCCCTTCTTTGAGCTTAGCCATTGCCAAATCATCGCGCAACAATATGTGTTTTCGTTGTTGACATGTTTTGTACCACCGTGATTGATATTGCCAACGACTTTGGTGTCCCGTCTTTTCTCAAATTCACTTATGGTACTTCTTACTTTGGTATGGTGCTTCATCTTCACAGACTTATCGAAAACAACTTAGAAGCAACACAATCTTCGAAAATCTCGTGTGCATTATCACTACATCCAACTATCAAGGCCAGTTAGCTTATAAATTGACAGTTAGAATATTTCACTATAAAATGACAGTTAGCTTACAAACATTATGTACAGTTAGAATCTAAAAAACCAGCTTCTTTCAGAAATCTTATTTTCCGGTAAAAGCTTATACAGGCGGGGAATCAATTTTTATGGCGTCGTCATTTGCCGCGGCAGCACTGAGAATAGATTTTGCCGGACATTCTCTCGGCGAGCATTCTACCAGAAGAACAACACAATCAGTGATCCAAAGTCCAAACATCTGAAATTTGAATTTAACCTGATCGTTGGTTTCTTCACCATTGATGAACAAATTAAAGTAATACTCCTGCAATAAGAATGTTAACAATACCAATTGCTTTCCTTTGGTTACCATAACGGTATTAGTGTCATGAAGCCTTATTATGCAACTACACATTCTTTTAATAATAACTTACTATTATTATGTTAAGAATACCATAATAATAATACTATTATTATGTAACTATTATTTCTTCAGCTATGTATATAAGAATATCCTTTGACAAATTAGTTCCTTAACTGCAATAAGAATGTTTGGATACTGGTAATTGCAATAGGTACAAGGCTCTAGGCAAATATTTAGTGAAATTATTAGTTCCTTAGCGAGATAAGAATGTGAACATGAGTGCTCTTTTTGCTTAATGCAGTATAGAATAGATTATGGCATTGGCCAAGAGATTTTCCAAGCTGAAATTACTAGTTAGGACTAGTTTGTGATCTCTATTGTGAGTTCTGGCTCACTTTATGACAGGGACTATGATGTTGCAGCTTTAGCTAATAATTTGAGTCAGACCTTTAGATATAAACTTTATGGGAATGAGAATAATGAACAGGTTTGTAGTTGGCCTCCTCTTCCCCTCTGTGCAATGCATGCATATTACTAACATTGTATGTGCATTTTTTAAATTCTGTACTTTATTAAGTTTTAGCTTCTGTGAGTTGCCTTTTGGGCTGAGCACTGCAACTTATATTTTGGACCAATACTTGGATTGACTTTGTTGCAGGAACATGGAAACCATGATCGAGAT